GAGTGCACAAGCGACTGGAAGTAGGCGTAAGCATTAGCTGATGCGTGTGGACGCAGAAGTTAATATGACTACACACTCGCTGGACACATGGACATCAAAACTCGGTGGTCCCAGAGGTCTCTTTGACACAAATACTTGATGGTATTGCCGTTATCACGTTCGACCGGCTAACAATTCCAAAGAAGTTGACTATGTATCGATGAGATCAGCAGCGTTCAAGGGGCACTACATACCTCTAATTAGGTACACATAAATGAGAGAACTAGAGGGCATAATGCTATTTAATTGGCTCGCATCAGCTGGTGACTGCAAATTTATCTTGTCTGATAATTTAAACGGAAAGGATAAAAAATTATTGGCAGTGGGAGAGTAGCAGGCAATAAAAGAAGCTATTTAGCATACCGCTGACTGTTGTCTGTCGAAAGAAAACAATGTGTTTTTTCGATTAATTAGAGGTACGCTGCAGTGTCTATTGCCTCTTCATTGTTGGTGACCCTACGTCGAGCAACTGAAAAAGAGGTTAGCCGATGTACTCAATGCAGGTAACGTTGGAACATGACAGGTTAACAAGGCTGATAATTCTTCACACCACTTCCGCCTGGAGTTTTTCTATATACTTTTGAGGAAAATCCGCAATGACTTTGCGTACCATATTTTTAGAGGTATAAGTGGGTTATTTGACAGTTGCGCACCGACTACCAGCGAACAACAACTATGCGCCTATAGATAGTAGCAGTTGATAAACGTTCTGCTTGTAAGTATATAGGAAAAGCAAGCAAATACATTTCAACCTGAATGTGAACATGTTCGGCAAAAAACACAATCACAAAGACTGAGATACAAATCACTCAATATAAAGAGAAGAAAAATGGCAAAAGTGGCGCGACTTTCAGTAGGACTGGTATAACCTTCACATCTGTAGCCCAGTTTCGTTACAGGTCAGGAGTAATTCAAGCAGTATAGGATTTACGAGTGTCCAGTTACAGGGTTCACCATGCAAGTTGTAGCCGACCACATCCTTTTCGATATGAAGTTTGTGACCATTCATAAAGTCACTTAAATGTCACTGGAATCCCCACTATGGCTCCTTGAGGCTACGCGCTGCTTAGCGGCCTCATTCCGGTAAAAGCCTCGACCGGCGAGCTAAACTGGATAAGGGTATCTGGGGTAGGTAAGGGCAAATAATGCTGTTCGATCATCCGAACAATTTCTGTAATGTTTTGAGCTTTTGAACTCACACAGAAGACTATCTTCGAAGACAAAAACGAAAACGGTTGAATGATATAGGAATATAGTTGACATCAGTAACGCTAGTTTAGTAGTTATTGTACAAGGCTTTATATGCCGGCACAAGTTCCTGTGTTGCGTGTGTTCTCATACACAGTAATGTTACTTCCTTTTTCCTCTTCCCAAATGCAAACAGTCCTATGTAGAGGTCAGTCTGCAATTCCATAGGTGGCCCAAGCTAACTCAGGTGGCTTTTCCACCAACCAAAGCCGTAACCCGTATTGGAGATTGGTGGCCATCCTGGGTGTTTAAGCAGTCCCGTTTATGGACAGTAAAGCTCGAAAAGTTGCCTGAAACAAATGGTGAACTCAGATCACCTGCATACAGACCATAACTAACAGACGTATAACTGACGGCCGAAGTAATAAAACCAATAACCACCATTTGTTCCTGTTATAACGACGAGTTCAGCATCGCTAGTGTTATAACGATGACATCTGACGTGTGTCACCGTCGAATTACG